TCTTTTTACTCTTTGTTTTGATTAAGTTTGCTTTTGGTCTTTTTTTGGGTCGCGCGGGGTTTCCCCCTTGCATGGCCATGGCGGACTCACGAATTGGTGTCTTAAAGAATCTCACGCGGCGTCCGCGGTGAGTGTTGAAGATTGTTGTTTGGCAATGGGAGAAGTTGTTGGGCATGACAGTATTTTGTCAGCGTCTAAAATGAATAGTGCTGTTGTGGTTTTTTTGAAGTCGGTTGAAAATGCAAATGAATTAGTGGAAAGAGGGATTGTTATAAATAATCTCTTCACACCGGTTCTACCTCTTTCGACACCTTCAAAAAAAGTAACACTGTCTAATATTCCACCTTTTGTTTCTGATGAAACTTTGATTAAGATCTTGTCCCGTTATGGAAAGCTGGTTTCACCAATTAAGAAAATCCTTATTGGTACTGCTTCACCACTGTTAAAACATGTAGTTTCTTTTAGAAGATTTGTCTTCATGATTTTGAAAGACAGTGAAGAATTAGACTTGACTTTTAATATTAAGGTTGACAACTTTGATTATGTTTTCTATGCTACAACTGAAAAAATGAAGTGCTTGAACTGTGGTGGGGTAGGCCATCTGATTCGCACTTGCCCCAAAAAGAATAAAGATCACTCATCGACTGATGTGACGGAGGTTAGTCCAAATAGTGATGAAAGGGCTGAAGCAGGGCCTTCTAATGCTCTCATTCTGAGTGTGAAAGATGTGACTGTCGTAGAGAATAGTGGGTTCTCTGAAGCTCAAAATGTAATTCCTGATGATACCACTGAACCAGTAGTGTCTTTGCAAGGGAGTGAGATGAATGCTACTGCTGTAGTGAGTGTAGGAGTCAGTAATGTAGTTGAGTCCGTTTTGACAAAGGATGAGAGTAATGTGAAGTGTCAATCAATTGAAATGTGTGATGATGCTGTTGATTTAGAATCAGATACAGCTGAGTTTAAAGTTCCAGGTAAAAGGAAAAGTTCAAGTGAAGTTGAAAGTGCTAAACAGAAAAAAACAAATGTAGTTGATGATGATGATGATGATCAAGAAGGGATGGAAAGTGGCAATGAGTCTTCAGATTCAAATCTCAGCTTTTCCCAAAGAGCTTCATCCAGTCGTGATTATGAGGTAGAAGACATTAAAATGTTCCTCAAATCAACGAAAAATAAGAGAGGAGTACGTGTCTGTGAATATTTTCCAGACATCAAACAATTTGTTGACAAGACCAAAATGTTCATGGCAGACAGCTTATTTACAAACAAGGAAATTTATCGGTTAAAAAAAATTGTACGAATTTTAAACCCTGATCTTGCAAATGATAATAGCTAAAAAGCTAAAACTGACACATGGGTTTCTAGCATTGTTTTTATCAGCTTTCGCTTGTTTTTTATTTTCTTCTTTTCTTTTAAAAATGAATGAAATTAATATCGCTTCCTTGAATATTAATGGAGCAAGAGATATTAAGAAAAGAATGGAAATATATGAATTTGTGAAACAAAATAAATTAGATGTGGTGATGCTGCAAGAGACTCATAGTGATCTAAAAAATGCTTCTGATTGGACTAGAGAATGGGATGGTCTTTCTTTCTTAAGTCATAATACTTCACTTAGTGGTGGAGTAGCCATTTTTTTTGTGAAGAATTTTAACCCACATTCTTTTCAAGTAGAAGAAATAGTAAAAGGTAGACTCTTAAAAGTAAGAGTAAACTATGATAAGAATGTTCTTATTTTTATTTGTGTGTACTGCCCTGTCTCCGCAATAGAGAGAATGGTGTTTTTAAATATATTGTGTTCTGTGTTGCAAAAATGTAATCAAGAAGAGTTTTTGTTTTTGGGAGGTGATTTTAACAGCACTGAATCTAATCTAGATAGGAATCATATAGAACCTCATTTACCTTCTAGAAATCGATTGATTCAATTTGTTAATATGCATGAACTGTGTGATGTTTGGAGAAGATTAAATGGCATGCAAAAACAGTATACCTGGACTCATGTGCGTGATAGAATCATTTCTATGGCAAGACTGGACCGTTTTTACATTTTCAAACACCATTATAATATTATTAGGAATTGTCATATTGTACCTGTTAGTTTTTCTGACCATTGTATGGTCAAATGTTCAGTTTTTATTAATCTTTTAAAACCTAAAAGTGCGTATTGGCAATTCAACACTGCCTTGTTAAGTGACACACATTTTAAAGAGTGTTTTAATTATTTTTGGGAGGATTTTAAAACTAAGAAAGGTTTGTATAATTCTGTACAACAATGGTGGGATGTAGGAAAAGCCCAAATTAAGCAACTTTGTTTACAGTTTACTCGAAACATCACTAAAGAGACTAATTTTAGAATGAGTATCTTGGAGGCTGATATTTTAAAACTCCAAGAATTGGCAGAGAATACTGGTACAAGAGGTTTCCTTGATTTACTTTTAGATAAAAAAACACAATTGGCTGATCTACTGGGTTCTAGGACACAGGGGGCCTTGGTCAGGTCGAGATTTCGACTTTTTTAATTTAGAAAAAAAGAATGGTCAAAGTAGAACAATTCATGGTTTAAGATCTGAATCTGGTATTCTTTTGACCGATCCTTCGGATATTCGCCAAAGGGCTGTTGGTTTTTATAAGGATTTATATAAAAGTGAAGTTGCTACAGAGCTAGAAAATGAGGGTGAGTTCTTCTTTGAAAACTTACCCCAAGTGCCTGAAAGCATCAACAGTGGAATCTCTGGCCCTCTGAGTATGAGTGAGCTACAGAAAGCCTTTCAAGGGATGGTGTCTGGAAAAGCACCAGGAATCGACGGTATACCAGTGGATTTTTATAAATCTTTCTGGTCAACAATAGGAGACGATCTCCTAGAGGTGTTGAATACCAGTCTGGCAAGGGGTAAACTGCCTCAAAGTTGCCGAAGAGCTGTGTTGACCCTCCTACCGAAAAAAGGAGATCTTGGAGACATAAAGTGTTGGCGCCCAGTTTCTTTGCTCTGCAGTGACTATAAGCTTTTATCAAAGGTTTTAGCAAACAGATTAGCTAATGTAATGGACAGTGTTGTTCATCCTGATCAAACTTACTGTGTCCCAGGTAGATCGATTTTTGATAACATTTCTTTTATTCGTGATCTTATTGAAGTCTCCAAGATGCTAAACCTAAATTGTGGTTTTATTTCGTTAGATCAAGAGAAGGCTTTTGATCGGATAGAGCATTGTTTTTTATGGAAGGTTTTAAATGCATTTGGTTTTAGTGAAAGTTTTATTAACTACATTAAAGTCCTTTATAATGATGTGGAGAGTATTTTAAAGGTCAATGGTGGTTTGTGTACTCCTTTTACAGTTTTTAGAGGCATAAGACAGGGTTGTGCATTATCTGGTATGTTATATTCTTTGGCAATTGAACCTTTGTTAAATCAGATAAGATGTAAACTTCAAGGTGTAATTTTACCAAAATGTAGGAATAAATTCATACTATCTGCATATGCAGATGATGTCACTGTGTGTATCAATGGACAAAGTGATATTCAAGCCTTGTTAAACTTATTGAAAACTTTTAAAAAAATATCTTCTGCTAATATAAACTGGGAAAAAGTGAAGCTTTTTTAACAGGAGATTGGAAAAATGCTAAACCTAAACTTCCTATGGGCCTGCAATGGGGAAAAATTGGTTTTAAATATTTAGGAGTTTTTATTGGAGATGAAGTAATGACGCAAAAAAACTGGGAGGGTATAATAGATAAAGTAAAAGGTCGACTTGAAAAATGGAGATGGCTGCTTCCAAAAATGTCATTTAGAGGACGTGTTCTAATTGCTAATAATTTGGTGGCTTCTTCATTGTGGCACAAGTTTGCTTGTCTAGATCCCCCGTTAACTTTGATAACAAAACTACAAGCACTACTTGTGGACTTTTTTTGGGATAAGCTGCATTGGGTCCCGCAAAGCATCCTATTTTTGTCTAAAGAAGCAGGTGGTCAGGGACTGATACATCTACAAAGTAGAATAGCTGCTTTTAGATTACAATTTGTGCAAAGACTTTTAACTGTTTCAGATGTTTTTAATTGGAATGCTGTTGCAAGATTAATTTTGGATAGGTTGGGTAATTTTAATTTGGGTAGAACAATTTTTTTGATGGATCCACTGAAATTAAGTTTTCCTACATTACCAATTTTTTATAAGAATGTGTTTAAAGTGTGGAATCTATTTACTTTTCAAAAAGTGGAGGACTCAAAATCTCTTTATTGGCTTTTAGAAGAACCTTTAATCCATGGGAAGCGTTTGGACTTAACGAACAATTGTTTCCTTCCCGGTCTAAACAAAGCACTCGTTGACAACAAAATAGTGACTCTTGGCCGTTTACTGGAAGTAGCTGGACTCGATTTTAAAAACAAAGAAGCAACATCTCGATGTCTTGGGATAAATTATACTCGTGTTATAGCACAACTTCTTCAGAGATGGGAATCTGCCTTAAATGATCAAGAGAGACTTTTATTGTTGGACTATAAAAACAAACTGTGTTATCCAGACTCAGAAGAGCATTTTCCAGGTTTGCTTTTTGCTCTTAAATTGGATGGGTGCTCTGGTGTTTTTTTTGAACAAGCTGATTCATTAAGTGTTGATTTTTTTTCCTGTGACAGAAAGTTGTTGTATAAATATTTTGTAATTGTTTTTAACAAGGTAAAGTTGAATAATAGGATAGATACACCTTGGCGTGGTTTTTTTAAATTGAATGAAGAAAAAAACCCAGAATGGAGAATTTTTTATAAACCTTCTTTGACCAAAAAGACAGGAGATCTACAATGGTGAATTGTTCATGGTGTGATCGCTGTCAACGCTTTTACTTCTGTTTTAAATCCTGAAAATTCTGATGAGTGTCCGTTTTGTGATGATAGAGAAACAATTTTTCATGCCTTTTTAAACTGTTATAGACTCAAACCATTGTTTTCCGTTTTAAAAGATGTATTTAGAAAATGCAATGAGGTATTCTCACAAGAGATTTTCATTTTAGGATGTAAATATGTCTTAAAGAAAAAGTTTGTGTGTCAACTGCTTAATTTTGTGGTGGGACAAGCAAAAATGGCTATTTATTTAAGCAGGAGAAAAAAAATTGAACAGGATGTACACTGTAAAAAATTTCCGTAAAAATACGGTACAATGTACCATATAAATGTGAAGGATTTTTTCCGTATTTGTCTTTTACGGATCTTTTACCCTTATTTTGAATTACGCGTTGCATTGTGGGAAAAAGATCCCGGCAGCGCGAAAAGTTTAAGACGCATCCGCCATTACACACGCAGATGACCGGGGGCAAAGTTGCTTTTTAGAGCCGGATTTCGGGTGTGTTGAAGCCATTCTGACACTTATGTGGTAAAACTTAAACTTAAAAACGAAAATTATGTTTTGCTTGATGTCAAAAAAGCTGTTAACGTAACGTTATTTTTAGTTACCATCTGGCATTAACTGTTAGGCAAATAAATGTCGGAGCCGTCACGTTTATCATTTTATGCATATCGTCACACATTGAAAGATTTAGTTATGACTCGTGGATGTTCTCGATTGTAGTGTCCTTGTTGTAATGGGCTTATTTACTTTTATTTGTCGTGATGCGTTTTATTTCTTGCCGAGCGAATCCGTTAACTAGTTGTGATATTTCTAACGTTAGCTAGCTGCTAGTGGTTTTAGAGCAATTTAATGCCTTCAAGCAAAAGCAACCAGAGCAGAGGAATCGTCAAGAAAAGTAAACGCCATTAAGACTTGCTTGATTTGAAAGGCATGAAGACACAACGTGAAGAGACTGTGTGTGAATATGCAGTAACTTAACCGGTAGCTGCTACAGCTGGATCAAGGAAAACACCAGCACCTTTTCTGCAAAATGAGGTAAGTTAACGTTATGTTTACGTTAGACTATATGTTTTTGTTTTAGATGACACACACGACTTTAAACCCCAAATAATGAAAGATTTATTTACATTTAGCATGACTGCTATTATCTAAACTTCTGCCTGTAATGTTAGTCATTCTTTCCCTCCTCATTTGTTTATTTCATAATGTTTCTGTTGTTTTCTTATCTATTAACAGGACCTTTCTGCTGTAGTTTACATCCCAAGCACCACCTGCATGCTTCTTATGGGTTTGTATTTTTTTTTATTAGCATTATTATGAATGTTCAATACTGGCAAAACACATTTGAATGTAAAGTCTGAAGAATAAAGTCTGTTTATAGAAAAAGTTGGTTGCTGAATACCCCCTTCAAAGATATTTATGTTTACATGGTCGGTAGAAATACAAATTGTATAGGGAAGATTTAAACAACTATGTTTAAAGCGTTTTTTTTTTTTTTTTTGAAGTGATCTTGTTATGTTTTTCATTTAGTAATATCTTTTTCTGTTTCAGGTGGTGGACATTCAGGGTTGCTGTCATTCAAGAAGTTATTGACCATCTCCTACCCTATTAAGGCAGTAAGATGCAAAATACCTGAAGAAAATGGCACTTATCCTGGAGTTCATATAAAGGTAAGCAACACATTTTTAATTAAATTATTTATTGAACATGTTTTTGTGATTCTGTTTATTTAGTATAATTAAACATATTAGAATGTAGCCTATAGTTGAGCATGCAGACAAGCTGACATGACATGCAATTGGAGTCCACTGGAAAAAAGTCTTAGCATTTTTTTAAACAGTGTTTGAATTTGAGAGAATTAGGGATGGCTGACAATTTGTTTATAGTTGATAATTTAGTCAATGTAAAATACTGTTCATTTGTTTTTCAACCTCAACCTGGTCTACATGATACTTTGTAGTTAATTTTCCTTCATTTAATTTCTTGAGTAGCTAAAAACATATCCTTTTTTTTTCATTTCCAACTTTCCTGTGTAGAAATCCTGAACGAAGGTTGAAAAGGCTGAGATGAAGGAAACGTCCCCATTCCTCCAAAACTGCTGAAGTTCCTGTTTGAACAACTTCGAAAAACCAGGTAAAGTTTCAAGCTTTTGTCAAATCTCAAAATGGAACTTTAATTGAACATACCGAAAAATGAACGTTTTTCATGCAAGTTGTTAAGATCTTAAAGGGATAGTTCACTTTGAAATACATTTTTGAAATCTTTTATACCTCAAGGGCATCCAAAATGTAGGTGTCTTTGTTTCCACAGTATTTTCAAGTTTGATATTTTTAGGTCAACCCGTTCTTGTCTGTCAGTCATATAATGGAGGTTTATGGGGTTCACCCTGGGTCCCCCTAAAGAGCATGCACAGAGAAGTCCAAATTAAACATGATTTAATGACTCGTGAATGTAAGGACACATTGATGGCCTAAGACACGAAACGAGCGGTTTGTGTGAGAAAACGAACAGTATTTAAATTGTTTTTACCTCTTGTAATCACAGCCACGTCCAAGTGATCTGAAAGACCGAAGCGCCTGTGCCTTCAGATCACTTGGACGTGGCTGTGATTACAAGAGGTAAAAACAATATAAATACTGTTCGTTTTCTCACACAAACTGCTTGTTTCGTGTCTTAGTGTGTCATCAATGTGTACTTACATTTAGGAGTCATTGAATCATGTTTAATTTGGACTTCTCTGTGCATGCTTTTTCAGGTGGACCCAGGGTGAACCCCATAAACCTGCATTATATGACTGACAGACAAGAACGGTTTGACCTAAAAATATCAAAATTGAAAATACTGTGGGAACAAAGGCACCTACATCTTGGATGCCCTAGAAGTAAGATAAAAGATATCAAAAATTAATTTCAAAGTGAACTATCCCTTTAATGAAATCTGAGAGCGTTCTCTCCATCTGTTGACAGCTCTTCCTCTGCTTACACCTACCACTTTCAAGCTCCAGAAAGATAAGTAAAGTAACACAGTGTTAGAGTCCTATCCAAATGTGATGCGATAAGATTCTAGCAACAAAACATTTGTGCCACTTTATAAATTTGGGGTTAAACCACTGGAGTCACATGGATTACATTTGTGTCTATACCTTTCTGAAACTTGAAAGTGGTAGTTGCCTAAGCTGTCAATGGAAGGACAGAAATCTCTCAGAGTTCCTCAAAAAGATCTTCATTTTTGTTCTAAAGATGAATGTAACTCTTGTGAGGTGTGGAACAACGTGCGTGTGAGTAATTACAATTAAAATTTTGGGGTGAGCTTACGCTTTATGTAATATTGTGTTCTCTTACAGAAAAATGGCATCAACACTAACATTTCACTCTTCTTTAATCCCTAGCTGGCATCTTGGGGAGGACGACCTCGCATCCAGTATGCTGCTGTGGGTGACGCAGGATTTCGAACTCATTCGATCACTTGTCTCTATGCTTTTCGAACTGTGGCGACTAATCGTGCCTTGCTGTGGGTCAAGCCGCTGGATCTTCAGATCTTCTTCGATCTGCTTAATCCATCCTTTTTTGGGTGCAGTGCGCTGGATTCTACACTGGGTTGGACGTTTCCTCCAGAGGACTTGTGGTATTCAATTTGCATCCATTCTGCACGTGTCCAAACATTTCACTCTATTGACTAGAAGTCTAAAGCAATTTTTAAGGATTAAAGCAGAAGCCTTATCTTCATTGCATTTTGTTTGTTTCTGTATTGTATCGTATTCTATTAGTATTGCATTTGAAAATGTTTTGAATCTTGACTTTCACAGTTTATGAAGGGTTTTTTTTCTCATTTTTTTAAAATAATTTTGTGAGCTATTTGGTACAACACCAATATTGTACCTGCTCATGTTTTCTTTTCTTTTTTTTTCATTTCTCCCATGTTTGTTTAATTTCTTAACTTTTTCCACAATACAAGCACTTTTTTATGGTGCTTTGCACATTGTTAAATTGTGTGTGTCTGTCTGTGTATATCAATCTTTACCCATTGAATACGTTTTAAGAATGTTTACATGAAATTTTTACAAAAATAAAACATGTTCAATATGTATATATTGTTCTTGAATTATTTGCTACCAAAATATATGCTATAAAAATAGAAATTTCTGTATAAGGATTATCCGTGAATAGTACAGAAAATACGGAATTTTCCATTTTAGGTTTGACGGAAATGTCCGTCAATGGTACAGAAAAACTCATAAAAATAGAAATGTAAATCTACGGAAATATCCGTTCTAAGGTTTACGGAAGTGCCCGTACAAAAACGGAAAAAGTGATGGTAATTAATTACCAGCACTTTTTCCGTTTTTTAACGGAGATTTTTTTAACAGTGTAGTACAAAACATTGTTGTATTGTTTTTTAACTTAGTACAGTCTAGAATCTTAATAGATTTTTATTATTATAAATGTATTGGTGATTTGATTTCCTTTAAAAACATTTGGAGCTGTAATGATGCTCTATGTGCAGTTTTTGAAGAAGATTTAATTTTCACACTTTATTGATTTGTTTTCGTTGTTTTTTTAGTTTCAATTTCTGGTTATATAATTGCAACGATGATTTTTTGTAAATAAAAGCTTTGTGAATTCTCAAAAAAAAAAATTTCTCTCTCTCTCTCTAGCGCCCTGTCAAGCGCACCAGTCATTCTTTTTTTACATCACTCATCGATCAAAAAAGGCTTTGGCAACGCCAAAAAGCTGATGATCTTACGGGTTTTAGAAGATTAAATACAACCCGAAACTAAAAAAAGCATTTATTTACCCAAACCTGTCGCCACAAAAGAGACTTCTATTTGGGACTTGGCAATTATTTGAAGTTTTACAGTACACTCGCAGAGAGAGCAACCTCCAGCATAGAGTGCGGTTTAACATCGGTTCAGTTTTTTGTTTAATCTGCCCTACTAATTTAACGAAATGTATATCAGTTCATGGTTTGTGTGTGTATAAACCTTATTCGATCTGCGTCATCAGTGTTTGTGGCGGCCATTTTGTTGACATAGAAACCACGGAAACTGTCAGTCTGTCAATGGACAAGCGAGGTAGCGTCGGGATTATCCATGATATCATCACTGTTTTTTTATTGTTGTTTTTTTAAACAGCGTGATGGTGTTGTGTAATACACGGCTGTTCTAACAACAGCAATAAGAACATCAGAGTTAGTTTTTATGCGATAAGATACCGACTGTCAGAAAACGTGAAGGGAAGGTGACAGGGTTGAGACAGCCCAGGAGAGGCTAGCTAGGATAAATAGGCTAAACTTTCAGCCAACTCCCCACAGAAAAGTCTGTTCCTATCATTTTACCACAGGTTTCACACATAATCCGTGTGCAATGCGTGTGCGGTGTGTACGGCACAGAAGCAGGACGCAAGTGCTTTAAATATGCTGCGTTTGCAGTGCATAACTGATCCGCGGCTGTAACTGTTACCAAACACCCCGGTACTCACTATTTTTATTAACACATACTCATTATTTCAACAACGTAAGCCAATTATTCCATGCATTACTTCTATATATTAAGTTTCTTAAGCAAGTGGTCAAATATCATGTACTTATATTAAAATCACAAACATTTTAAATGAAAACTTAAAATTGACAAAAACAACCGACTCTCATGCCTTTCTTTTGCACTTACATTTTAATACAACGAATCTTGCATGTCACAAAGCACTTGTTTTTCCACCTCCACAAATGAGATGAGTGTCGTTCATGTTGCCTTGTTGAGGTAAATTGTAGTTTGTACGTTATACGGATACTGTGTGATCGAGATCGTTATAAATATCCAGATAGGTTACGGCTGGCAATAAGGACGGATCTTTACTTAATGCTATTATTTAATTTTGATGTGGGTCCACACACCAATCAAGCTTATCTTCTCTTGATACCAACGAGATGAAGCTCCCCCTCAACTCAAATCTGTGCGCTGCTAAGGGCAGCAGGACAGATGTCATGTCAACAACATGGCCGCGGTTAGCTACTTCCGGTATTTGCGAATAAGGTCTATAAGAGAGAAAGAAAAAATGTGAGTATTTCATTGAGACTTGAGATTAAATAAACTGGTTAAGTATTGTAGATCTTGAATTAATTGTCGCATGCAGTAACACATTGTCGGTTAAAAACAAGAAAGTGGCTGGTAAAAACATTGAGTGGCTGGTAGATTTTGAAAATCCACCAGCCACAGTGGTCGGTGCCGGTGGACAAAAAAGTTAATTTCCATCCCTGGTGGTGAGCCATAGTCGCATAGTATGACATTAACCTTTAATGATCCAATAGCTTATTTTGTCCCATGTAACTAACGGTAAAATTAGTTACCATTAAATACAATATTACTTAATCATGAATGACATAAGCGTTTTTATATCTACAACCCAATTTCCAGAAAAGTTGGGACATTTTGTAAAATAAAATGTACAATATGGGATTTGTTAATTCTCTTGAACCTTTTTTTTTAATTTTTTAATTTTTTTACAAAAGTACAAAGAAAAGTTTTCCAATGTTTTCACTGACCAACATAATTTTATTTTGTAAATAAAAACAAATCATGATATTGATGGAATCCAGGGAAATTTCAGTCTGTGTTGGGCAAGGCAGGAGACCTTCGATGAATCTCCGTGACCTTTGAGCCCTCAGACGGCTTTGCATGAGAAACCATCATGCTACTCTGTTGAATACAGCCACAAGTGCTAAGGAGTACTTTAGAAAACCATTTTCACTGAACACAGTCTGACGCTGCATCAAGAAATGACACTTGAATCTCTGTTACACAAGGCGAAAGGTATACATCAGTTATATGCAGAGATGAGTTCTCAGGCCCGAGCTCATCTCAGATGGTCTAGAAGACAGTGGAAAGCTGTGCTCTGGTCAGATGAGACCATGTTTCAGCTTGTTTTTGGGAAAAATAGACATCGGGTTGTCAGTCCCAAAGAAGAAAGGGACCAACCAGACTTTCATCAGCGACAGGTGCAAGAGCAAACATCTGTCCTGCGGGGTGCATCAGTGCAAGTGATATTGGTAACTTGCATTCGTGTGAAGGTATCACTGACAGGCATATATTTGGATTGAGACAAATTGCCACCAAGATGACATCTTTCCTGGGAAGCAAGACAATGCCGGGGCTCATTCTGCACATGCTAAAACTGAGTAGTTCCTAGCAGTGGCGGATGCAGAACGTGACAGATGGGTGGGCCTGGATTAAGTCGAGGTGGGCCTAAATCTATGGGTGTCCCGAAATTAAAAGCAGTTGTCCCCAATCCAGGGCTTTGTTTTTTTAACCTAATTAACGCCGTTCTTATCGCTGTACGTAATCATATATGTGCATGTGTACATCACTTTTGAATAAGAAACGATAACATGTCTATAAAATACGTCAAAACTTTTTATTTTGGTGATTAAACTTTTGGTGAAGAAACTTTTACGTATTGATGAGAACACTAACTTAAACAGCATGGACACACACGAACTTGACTGCACGTCACATTTTTGACATTATTGATAGGCTACTGCTTTACATCGTAATACAATTAATAAACTTTTAATAAACTACAGAACAGCGTGAGCGGGAAAGCAGCGTGCCTCACGTGAGCAGAGTTTATGCTACGAGAACGGTCATTGCAAACACACACACAGGTCTGTTAAAAAGCGGTGCGCGTGCCTCATGCGAGCACGGATTATGCTCCGAAAAACGGACACTACACTAGTGATACAAACACACACAGTTCTGTTAACTTAACTAATATTTTAATAAGGTAGTCTAATATTTTTTCTCACTAATTACTTAAAGTATGGTAGATACAGTGCCCTCCACAATTATTGGCACCCCTGTTTAAGATGTGGTTGAGGACTTTTAAAAATTCTCCCTTTTTTTTAAACAACATAGAACCCAAATGCAAAAAAAGAGAAAAATCCAACCTTTTATTCAAGTACATTACTTTGGTGGTAAAAAAAAATGTAAAAATTTAGAAAAATAAAAACTTCAAATCCTGTGTCCCACAATTATTGGCACCCCTAACAATTCCGCTGAAAAATGTAATTGATTTTTAAAAAAAATATATATTTTCTGTAGTTGCTAATGTTGGTCAGGATATCTAGGAACTTTTAATTAGTAATTCATGACTTCCTATTTCCCTGGGGTATAAATATGACATGACACAGAGGCCTAATTCTCTTACCCATTTGTCAACATGGCAAAGACAAGAGAACACACCATTCAAGTAAGGCAGATGTGTGATGACCTTTATAAGTCAGGCAATGGCTACAAGAAAATAGCCACTCACCTTATATTGCCCATATCTAAAGTTAGAGGAATCATTAAGAAGTTTAAAACAACAGGAACAGTGACAAACAAGGCTGAAAGAGGTCCCAAGTTTATCTTGCCACAACGCACTTTGAGGAGGATGCTAAGAAAAGTAAAAAAAAGTCCTAAGCTCACTGTCACAGAATTGCATCAAATAGTGGCATCTTGGGGTCACAAAATCTCCAAAACAACCATCAGACGCTCTCTACATGCCAACAAGATGTTTGGGAGGCATGCTAGGAAAAAGCCTTTTCTCACTAACACTGACAAACGTAAACGTCTGGAGTTTGCCAAGCGGCACTGGGACTTCATCTGGGATCGTGTGCTTTGGTCGGATGAGACTAAGATTGAGCTTTTTGGCAACAAACACTCTAAGTGGATCTGGTGTAAAACAAAAGATGTGTATGCCGAAAAGTACCTCATGCCCACCGTGAAGTATGGTGGAGGATCTGTGATGCTGTGGGCCTGTTTCTCTTCCAAAGGCCCTGGGAACCTTGTTAGGGTGCATGGCATTATGAACGCTTTGAACTACCAGGACATTTTAAATAAAAACCTGATGGCCTCTGCCAGAAAGCTGAAGATGGGTCGTCATTGGGTCTTTCAGCAGGATAATGATCCAAAACGTGTGGCAAAATCTACACAAAAATGGTTTAGTCACAAACTCAAGGTCCTCCCATGGCCATCTCAGTCCCCAGACCTCAATCCAATCGAAAACCTGTGGGGTGAGCTAAAGAGGAGAGTGCACAAGAGAGAGCCCAGGATACTGGATGATCTAGAAAGATTTTGCAAAGAAGAATGGTCAAAGATCCCTCTCTCTGTGTTCTCCAATCTTGTGAAATGTTATAGGAGATTAAGTGCTGTCTTATTGGCAAAAGTATTACAAATACTTGTTGTATTTGTACAAAGTATTAACATCAGGGGTGCCAATAATTGTGGGACACATGATTTGAAGTTTTTATTTTTTTAAATTTTTAATTTTTTTTTACCACCAAAGTAATGTACTTAAATAAAAGGTTGGATTTTTCTCTTTTTTTTGCATTTGGATTCTATGTTGTTTAAAAAAAAGGGAGAATTTTTAAAA